GGGGTTGATGACGATGATGATCAGTTATGAGTGATAATAAAAATCTGGGGTTTTGTGGATGACGGGACTACAGAAAGACAACTGTTCATCATGTGTCTTTCTTAACCACTCGTTTTTAACCCTGGTTATAATCTTTGGTTACGTTTATGACCCGCTGGGGTTAGATGTGGTGTAATAAATATATCTTAGTCAAATATTTATTGCTTCAACTCGGTTGACTCACTCGTTCGTTTATTCCCCGTCCCCAATTTACGCTGTTAGCTAACTTAGCTAGAGTATTTGGAGAAATATGATATAGAGAGAAGAGAGGGTTGCACACGTTTGAATATCGGGTCACACTCGTTCTCACACCGAGTGGAATTTGGAATTTGGAAGCGGTCCTTAACCCAGTAACCCTCCTCCCGGTCCCGGCTCCTCCTCATTCCTCTCACTCTCAGTCAGTCAGTCCTTACTCACTCCTCACCTCACTGCAAGTATTGACCGTGAGTCTGTAACCGACCTTTGACATGCCAAGTGGTAGTGGCAATTAGTTGAATCTTGAAACTTGAAAGAAGCGGGACCCCTCAAACCAGAGGGGTATTTTTTTTTTTTTTTTTTGTCGGTTTAACCAGTTTCAACTTTTCAAAAAATGGACTAGCCCTTTCCTTAAATTGGTTCACATGTTTAAGGATATTTCGGTACTTTTACTCTGCAAATTCATCTTTATATATTTCGCTTGTTTTTGTGAAATCTGCGGGTTCGTCAATCCGGCGATGTAACTAATATTAGAACCTATCCTTGGCAATTTGACAGTGAAAGGACCACAGGGCCCCTCTGAAAAGATTAAAAAATAAATCTGGAATTTTTTTTGAGAAGATATAAACCTTCATGTTGGTGCTTATAGAATGGACTAGGGAGCAGGAATGGCAGCACCCCCTGATGCCACGTGCCGAAAAAGCAGGTATTAGATGACACGTATTGTTTGTCGCTCATGTCCCAAATATACACGTGGCGTTTTATTGCCAGGCGACTTTATTTGGGTCAATAATTTTTTAATTAAAAAAATAAGATAATTGACGTGAAGGAGGAGAACTCGTTACTCGGGTGTGCTGACTGCTGAGTTCAAATAAGATAATAACGATTAAGTAGGGGAGGAAGATGTTCCCAATGCATGGTAGAATGTGTATGTAAAACGTCTGAAAAACGCCACGTGTGAAGAGCAGATCCGATCTCCCCACAACGTCCTACAGCATATCTCCCGTGTATTGGAAACGATATACCGCACCACTACGCCATTTTAGTTTTGTTGGTACGAAAACCGTCGAGATGCACAGATTAGAACAGGAGGAGATAAAGCAACGGTTAGATACATAGTTGTATAGTTGTGGATGACATCAGCATTTGAATCCAATCATGGGATGAGGGAGGGGTTCAAACATCGTTGGATGTGCATAAACAATCACATCGGAACTCGCACTTTTATTTTGTATTTATTTACTATTAAAAAAAGAAACTATTTATCGTTGTCATCAGCGCATTACCTGCTTACTCCTTCGCCCCGATGGCGATGGGCGATGGGAAGTTGGGAACCACTTAGCTCTTATACATATGCAGTAATCACAACAATTAGAAAGTAAATTCATTTGTAAGATAATTGATGTGGATGAGATGGATTCGCCACATTTAGAAGGTCAAAATTGCTAAGTTTAGGAGGTTTACTTTGTTGTTGTTATATGTATAAGCTTGGGACATGTTATGTGTTAATAATATTAATAGTTAGTTTATATGGCCGGCTATTATAATTAGTATGATAAAAGACAAATAAGGCCGCATTCTCAATTATAACAAATAGATATAGATTGTTTACGTGATTGAACATCAGTCTGACTTTATTTGAACCGGTTTGTCAATTAATTCAGAGTGAAGGAGAATTTGTTGAGAGTGAAGGAATTCATAATTTGATAATTTGGATGGAATTGAAGCTGGAGAATTAACAAATTATGTAAGGAAAAAAATAGTAAAGAGAAGTAAGTAAAAATCATGCATATACGCACTCAAAAGGGTCGTTTTAATTTGTTGGTTCATATCAGCAACAGTAGCACGCTATGTGCTACTTTGGATGATTATTTCTCAATTCTATGTTCGATTTGTGGGAAAGGGCATCAGGCATGTCCACGCTGTATTCCCTTGGTATCTCACACTTTTTTTTTTTTTTTGTGGGTATCTTACAGTCAACTCTACGTTTATTTCCTGGTAAATTCTAATCCGGTGTATATTATCATTTGCATTTAATTTGCAGGATAGTGAAAATGTGGATGAATGAGGGATGAGGATTATACCGGTGTTTGTGGGACCACTGTTGAGTGTTGATGGGACCCTTAACTCACAATTAGGTACGGTACGTAGTTCCTTAAATGCAAATTAACCATCGTATTAAAACGAGCTAAATTAATATTGTGATTGTAGCCAAAACTTATATTGTCATATGACATACATACATGGATACTATTTATTTATTGGGTCCATATTAACAATTCTTAAAGCTACAGAAACATTTTACTACTTTAACCTTTTTTTTTTCCTAATTTTATCATTTTTTCCCACAATACAAATGCATTTGCGTATCGTAAGGAGGAAGTAAAATTATAAGCTTTCCAGTATATTTCATTTAGAAATTATGGTATCAAGACTTTTGTTTTGGCTAAGAGGAGGAGCTGTCATGTACTCATGTGAAGGAGAATGGGGTTTTGGTAGGCCTTTACCTTTTAGCCTTTTTTGCTCTTGTATCAAAAATAAAATAAAGTAGTTAGTTGCTAATATGTTATCTGTGTTCATCACCTCAAGTCTCAAGATTTTGAACAGCATACAATTCCGGTATTTCGTTATAGCCATTCAAATTAATTTTCAAACTTTTTACTAAAATTTAATTCATTATATCTCTTATTATCCCTTTCTTCTTGAAAAAAAATTGGGAAATATCTGTGAATGCAAATCAATGCATGTATTCAACTTTTATTGTTTTACTAACTTTATCAGGGGAAAAAATTAGTTGATGTTATTGATATATATATGTATGGTTTCGTAGAAATGCCAACATTTCAATTAAAGTTCTTCTAAACCAGAAAATTATATTACCAAGGAATCCATTTGCTTACTTGAAAAAAAAATCAAAGGTCCACAAAGTTAGAAACCATGGTCCACCCAACCTTTTCAGACTATGTCGGAGGAATTGCTAACCTAACCTTAAAGCAAAGATGATAATTTCATAACCTACTAAAATACGGCAACAGTTCATTTTAGACTAGAGGTGTTAGGGTTGCATTAATTCTAAGTGCTTCCATGCGCCCTCCTCAATTATGAACATAGCTAGTGGATAGTGGATATAGATCCATCATTATTCAACTGTCTCCCACTTGGGATATATATCTATCTTTTTTTAACCCAAGTCATTCATCAATTCAACATACGGGAAAATCAACTTATTTCTAAATATATTTAACGATGTTAGGAATTAATTAAATGGGTAAAGTTATTCTGATCATATAGTAAAGTTTAGGTTTAAACAAAGTGTATTTATTGCATCCATTTCCCATGCACTCATCAACCTCCACAACGAATTGAAAATTGAGATTTGAGAAGAACAAGTTACAAACTCACTCTTGTAGATGAAGATAACCCTTATCAGTCATCACTACTCACTGAGTCACTGCTGTTTGGAACTTGTAGGGTTTTATTAAGAGAGTGATGGTTTTGATTTGAGTAGAGAGGACTTTGTAATCTGTCTCAAAATAAGTTCCATAGGTTTGAGCGTTTTATGAGTTGAAAAGATCAGAGAATACAAAGGGGGAGTTATAATTTGATAGGCGTGACACCGACCTACACTTGAGGCTATCCTTTTGTTTTTTGAGATATCCCCAACATAAAGATGATGCCAACCATGTCTATGACCAAGCCAACAGGAAAGAAAAGAAAAAGAGGTTGAGATGGCTACCTCGTATTTAGGTCTACCAAGTCACCTGGACTAGACCACATTACACTGACGCCCTTTCCTAGTGAACTGTGAATATAAGCCAAAGTTTGAATAAGTGCTTATTTCAAAAAGCATTTATTTTGGGTTGGATTATATTAATAAGCATTTGGGAAATAAACCTGAAATAACTGGTAAATTTATTCTGATAAGTGTTTTTATGGACAAGTTTAAAATTTGGGTTTATTTTTAAGTGCTTATTTAATAAGCCTTTATTTCTTTTTTGGCATGTCTTAGCCTATCACATCATTTTAAAAATACTTATACTACCCTTATTCAAAACAAGTGTTTTTCACCAAATATTCATAATCACCTATTAGAATAAACAACTATTTTTTAATAATCACTCCCAAATTTAGCTTAAATAATAAATTTGCTTACTAATTCTAGCCATTTTATTTGTTGAATTTATAATTAATTTCCATGGACGAGAGGCATAGTTTGAACAATCAAGCCAGTAGTATGTATATATGGTGAAATTTAGCAGTGAAAGGAGACATGGAGTAGCTAAAGGCACGTTTGGGTCAATGGGATTGGATTGGAAAGCCTAAAACTTTTACCAAAACAAGCCCACCCGCCCATACCGCTGATGCCAATAGCTTCACATGTTGGTGTTATCTTTTCTGAATTATTCACTGTCCAGGTGAAGATTCAGTTTGGGATTTGTAGTTGCAAATTTCTGGATGCCTTCACATGTAGTTGGTACAGAGAACCCATTCCAGATGTTTGGACAAACTTGGTTTTTTCTTCTTCCCTTCCATTATCTTCCATAGTAAGAGAAACCAAAGTAAAGCTAATTAATGCACTTAAATTGCCATTCTCAACCTCTAAATCTATTGTATGTGGACGATATGGGCAATGACGAGTGAACCCGAGCCCAGGCGGAAATGCTAACAATTGTCACTGTGAGTTGAGCCTTAAAGCCTTAAAGCCTAGAGTAGAGTC